TTGCTGAATGGCATTTGAGAGTGCTCTGCGGATGGAGAGGGTTGTGCCAAGCCATGTATCTCTATGGTACCTGCTGTACAGAAAGAACAAAAATGACTATGAATAGGAATCCTCCTCAAATAGGAATCCTCCTCCTATTTAGCAACTTGTTAGAGCTTTTATAAGCACTGACACACTGAAATTTAGTATTCTGTGTGGTATTTCAGCAGAGATGGTCATAGTGTGAGGTATGAGGAGACACATGCCCTGTGGTTAAAGCCTCCCTTCATCCCTGTGATATTGCACAAGGTCACTAAGACTGGGGGAAGCTGAAATCCTTTCGCCCTCCAGTATGCCCGTGTGTGCATGCATGTGTGTGTAGTGCCCTGCTTGGAGGTGGTAATAGAGGCTGGCTCACTAAGACTGGATCCCGAGCCTTTCGTTTGGTGCCTTGAGCTCTGGGGGGCCATTTGCCCCACTACTTTGCCAGACTGGTGCACTTGCTGAAATAAAGGTGTTGCATCTGACCCTCCTGGATCAGCCGGCTTTCTGTCCACATGTACTTCACTTCCTGTTCCCTACTTTTGAACCTTTCTGTCCGAGGTCAGTAAAAGGGGAAGGGGTGGTCATCCAGGAATCCTCAGAGGCTGTACTTAGCTCATGGATCTGAAGGTCAGCTTCCTTCTGCCCACCCTGGACTGCTACTTTCAGATCATCTAATGTAATAGGTCAGTTGCACTGGAAGGTACAGTTCATTTCACTGGTAGACAGAGGTGGTCCAATGGCAACTTGCTGCTTTATCAAAGAAGAAGAAAGGGCATTCTGCTACTTTTCTTGTCCAGTGACGAACATTATGTATACATTTGTTTATGTGATTATGTTCGGCACTTCCTCATGAAGAGCCCAGGGTGGCTTCGGTGTAAAGCCATCCTGCAGCTGAGCAGCAGACGGTTGTGGCAGAGCGTTCGGCAACCTCAGATGCAGAGCGTGTGTGTTTAAAAAGGAGTTGCTGGAAGGACACAGAGGCTTGCTGTGTGTTTTCACTAAGCCACGTAGGAGACATTTGTTTCATGTTGGTGTGTGAAGAAGAAATAACTCAAAATGTGGGTGTTCTGTGAAAAGCCGTGTGCTGGTGGTAGATGTTGGTGGGGAGAGGTTAATGAATGGGTGTGGTGTTTACAAAGTAATAGATGAATAAACAGTGTTTATTGTGCCACATTATGCCTTTTCAGAATGGGGCTAGCAGCTAAATTAAATCATTGGTGCAGCAATGCCTCCAGTGAGAGTCTATTTGACCAGAGTGACTTTTGCACAGCAGTGGCTACTGGTGCACACTGTAGGGCTGTGACGCAGGAGAAGCAAGTTTGAGCCCCAGCAGGGGAAGCAGTGAGATGCCCCAACTGGCCTTGTTCATGACCGGTGAAACTCTCTCATCCTGGGACAGATGAGAGAGAGATTTGGAGACTTGCCCCTAACCACTATCCCAGCCAGCCAGCCAGCCAAGAAGCAGACACGTGATGGCGCATTTGTCCAGCCACACACAACAGGAGACCGCCTACCAGCTCGCATGCTGCGAGCAGGAGTCAGCTCCACGCTTGAAAATGGCAAGAGGGGTTCCTGCACTGGGCACGGCTGCTGAACCCTCCAGGAGTGCTGCATGCACTGTGAGTCTGGCCCCATGTGAGCCAACTGGCCCTGGTGGCCCGCCCCTTCCTCCCAGCTACTTCTGAAATCACTCCCTTCCTTCATCCTGCCTGATAGGCAACCTCGCTGGCTAGCACCCCAACAAGATTCACTGCCCTGCCCTGCCCCCCAGCTGCCTGACTCATGCGACCTGCTGGCAGCATCCACCCTGGGAGGCTGCTAACCTTCAGTCCATCGTGCCCCCTCCCACACCCCACAGAGGTCAGCTGAAGACCCATCGTGCAAGGGTGGCGGACAGGGTTCCCTCTCCCTCTGTCGCCCCAGCAGCAAAGACACAACTCAGCTGGGTTTTTCCTGTTCTCCATGCTATCTCTGAGAGTACACAGCCATAGACTCATGTAACATGTATTTGAAGATCTTAACTACAGGGGGATCATCGGGAGAATCTTGTATTTGTGGCAGCTGCGTTTGCACTTCATAGTTCAGTGTAGTGGAAAGGTTTGGTGGGTGTTTAGCTTACATTTGCCAACAGACACGGAGGTGTTACAGAACTTTCCTATCCAGGCAGCTTGGTTGTTTTAGTTTCCAGCTAAGCTGGCCCAGGCTGAATGGGGCAATGAGGGTATGAATATGTGCCTGTGTTTGTCGAGTTGTATGCCTGTGTGTGTGAGAGAGGGGAACATGAACGTGAAAGCATGCACGTGTGTCCACTGTCCAAATAAAACTGGCAGTGCCTCTCTCACCTTTTTCCCTATGCTGCTGCTGAGTGTGCCTCCAGAAGGGAGACGTGAGCTCCTGGTTGCACCTACCATTTGTGTGCACTCATTGACCAAGGAAGTGAACTTTGGTCACCTCCCACCCAGCTTCATTTGGGAGAAGTGTCATATATTATGCAGAAATATCTCTGGATTTGCCACTAAAGTCCCACAGAGGGGAGCTGTAGCAAACTCTGGGTTGATAATGGATTTATCATATGTTTATGTTCCAGATAGGTGTGTGGTTCTTCCATGTATTAGTTTACTGGTTCCTTAAATCAGTGTTACATTAGCTGCAGGATTTGAGTGTCCACGGGCAGAATGCTTTCGATGGCCCCTCACTCTCCTTGAGTTTACCTTGTCCCCAGCGGATCTTGCTCGTCTCCACCACCTGCTGGCTTGATGTGGAGAAAGCCAGTGTACAAGCAGGCCAGGGCATCTCCTGCTCCTGCCACCTCTGCTGTTCCGACCAGGTGAGAGGCAGCTGAGGAAGCAGCCCCCCCATGGTGAAACAGAGGGGCAAGATCAGGGGGCTTTTTGCCAGTGGGCCCTCATCCCAGTGCCCAATTGTGCCAACCCTGCGCTATGCAAAATCTGATGCTTATACATATACATAAAGGATGGTGCATCCCCAAAATCATAGGCTTCCAAACTGTGAGGAAAAACACTGTGTGTAGCATGGTACACCTGAACCAGGTAGAGCTTTCTTCTCCTTTCCTAGCTGAAGGTTGGTGCTGTTGTGACGGTGCTGGTGCAAGATGCTTGTGGAGGAAGGCCTGAATGGGGCCTTCCTCCACGGCTTGTTCTGCGCATTGCTGTCTGCAAAGACCTTCATGCACTCAAGTGGAAGGATGAGTGCTGATTTTTATTGGCTGGGGAAGCAAAAATCACAGTAGGTTTAGAAGCATGAGCTAGAAAAGGTTTGGGAAAACATGTTGTAATCTTTTTTATTTTCTTCTTTAAATTGCATCTCCTCAAGTTTCTCTTTTTGCTCACAGGCTAAGATTAAGTATAGAGTTCATCAGTCAAGAGAATAATCTTTTTCCCCCTTTTTAAATTTGTAACATTTTGATTTGTGAGAGACTTTGTTTTCTTTGTCCTGCTATCACTTCTGGCCAAACAAGTTTTGCAGAGTCATGAATTTGAGCAGCGGAGCCGTTGTAGGAAATCGACTCTGGCATGGACATTCCTGTCCAGCACCGAGCTCTTGGAAGCTGGCTGTACACAAGCAGAAAGACTCTATTGACCTTTGGTCTCACTTACAGGCTTCCCAGGAGGCACCTTCTTGGCCACTGTGGGAAAAAAATGCTGGACTTTGATCTGATTCAGTGTGGCACAGATTGGCTGCACCTGCAATGTGACTTCCACCACCACCGCCAGAGTGGTTTTTGCAACTTAATTTTTCATTTTAAGTAAAACAAATCAAAATGGCGAACTCATGTTTTCATGAATGAATATTCATAACATGCTTTAAAAGGGGCAGAGGGAGTGATGTACGGTCCACCAAGAACAAAATGGGAAGTGGGAAGACAGGCAACTGAATCTCTGTCACTGTCATACACCTGGAATATGGTAGCCTTGCTCTGGGAAAAGAAAACGCAATGAGACAATCTGCACAAGCATTTTATTCTGGTACTGTAATATCTGATCTATGCATGGCGCACACACTACATTCACCAACCCAAGGTCCTGTTGCCATTTTCCAGCCAGTATTCTATTTTCCCTACTCTACTTTCATGATAGGTTTTCGGGGGCTTGCAGAGCTAAAAAGATGGGCATTCCTATCAAATGCTTTTATCACTTTTTGCTAGTGGGAGTGGCTTTAAAGCTGCAGGCACTGTTTTTCAGTATCCCCTCTTCCCCCATGGCAGCATCTATACTTTCCTTTCTCCTTCTTGCCTTCCCTGTGCTTGCTTCACATTGATTTTCAAGGGATTTGTGAGCAGGACTTTAAAAAAATAGGCAACTGTTTGTCACTGCACACCTATGCAGCTTCAGCACTGTGAATGGCCCCACACCTTAGCTGAAATTTCCTGCTTGCAAGGCAATGAATGTGCACATGCATTTAGTAGACTAAGAAATAAATGCAAGCAGAAGATGACACTAGCATGCTCTCCCATTTCTCCAGCAGTGGCAGCGCTGTGCTATGACTTGCTGGTTGTGTTTTAAACTCGGGCCATGAAATGCACGTGACTGTTCAACCTCCTCCTACTTTTTGCACAGTCAGAATCCTGCGCATTTCTGTGTGGTACTCAATCACTTTATCACCAGGGGGATGCTGTGCTGTATTCATTACTCAATGCCCCCAGAACAGTGATTGGACTTTGCAGACATCCGGGCTCAGTGGGGTTTCACAAATAAAATCAGCTCTAGTGTGCTTTCTCCCAAGGATTGTGTTTTACAGACACATTTTCTATGCAACCCCGAACCTGCTTACCTGAGGCAATTGTGGGGAGAATGTACACACCACAAAGCAGTGACCTCTCTTTCTGCCTCCTTCAGCTCTTCAGAAAAATATGTAAAAAGCATGTCTCCAAGCTCAGCTGACTCACAATAGCCATGTTTGGAAATTGCTGTTCCACGAACCCTTCCCCAGCCTGTGATCCTGCCTTTTCCTTTCAGAAATGCGCTGTCAGATGGGGGAACAAGTCCGGGGCCTTGACTCCCAGGCCGAGAGTCGGCAGCAGCTACTCCAGGATGTGGCTGACTTCTTGCGCCGGAAAGCTGAGGTGGAGCAGGAGTATTCCCGGGGACTGGAGAAGCTGTCTGAACGCTTCTCAGCTAAGATCCGTGGCTCCAAGGAACACCAGAACTTCAGGTAGAGGTTTTTGCATTCTTTGAAGGGTGGTTTAATGTTGCTGAATTGCAAAGGATGTTCCAGGGCTACTGTGATTGGGGAATAGGGAGGTGGGGGTGGCAGGAGCGGAGGAAAGGGCCAGTAGCTCTTACGGCATGGACATGAGGTTTCACAAATGGGAACCGCGAGGACCTTCCCTGGTGCAATCTGAAGCATCCTTTCCTGGCTGCAGGTTTTGAGTGCCACTAACCTGGTACCCTGCAGGCATGTTGGGCTGCGGTTCCCACCATTCTCAGGCAGCATGGCACTTGGCATGAAAGAATGTCAGATTTTGTTTGGGTGGTGGAGGTTGATTTTTGAAAACCTGATTATGAAATTGCTGCTGGAGGGTGAGGGAGGGAGGAAGTGACATGATGGCTTTTGTGATGGGTGGAAGAACAGGCTGATGATGGGAGCAGGATGAAGCGGGGACTAAGTCTGCCTTTGTCTGGATGTTTCCAGAAGTCATCTTTAACTGTGTTTCTGTGAACATTTTTATTTATCACAGCCTTGTGATATCCCATAAGCTGATATACTTTGTGTCTCTCTGTGTAAGTTGGTTCATTGGTGCAATGCCAGTATAGCACTTCCATGCTCTGGCCTTAAATAGTTACGAGTTTACTTTAGAATGGATGAATCTCTCAGTTTCAGTTTCTCTTCTCTCAGTTTGAAGGTCAGTTTGTTGCGTAATTTCAGAATTTCTCCAGTCTTAATCTGGTTTCATCCCAAACATGAGAGTTCAAAATTCCTTTGCATAAAAATTCGTAAGTGCTTTTGTCAGGCACCTTCTGCTCCATCCTCTGCTGATTTTTTTTTCTGTTTCCTGAACTTGCATTAATTCATAAATGTGCGACCTTGCCCTTTCCACAATGCACAAATATTGCTAAAATGATTCTTCTTTATTTAATAGCTAGCTAGATAGATAAAAATATTTGTACAATTTGACCTGTGGGGGAAATTGTGCAGGTTCTTTTAGGGTGGGTTTTAACATTTCTTTCTGCAACTAATTTTGCTTAACATTCCTGAAAGTTAAAAGAAAAAAAAAAATTTTAAAGGGGCATCCTGGGTGTTGTAGGCTCTTTTTCTGTCTAAATGCACATAGGATTGCACCCTAAGTGACTGGAACTTAGATACTGGCCACTTTTAACTCTGTTGCACAGATCTGTCTAAAGAGTGAGGGTCATTATGAAACTGTGAAATGTGTGCTTTGTATGAAAGGTGACCTTTGGTGACCAAATGACTACCCATCATTCCTTTAAAAATATTATTGGAAGGGCCCTCATATAACAGAAGATTATTGTTCTTATTTATTTATTGTACCATAGCACATGGCATTATTTATGTATTTATAATATTTATTTCTTCATTCCTAACACCCACGAAAGCTTACATAAACACATGAAAATGTCAAAGTGTATAATTATTTGAAAAAGCTGATATAAATAAAAGCTAGGCCATTGCCCCAGTGAGCTCACCATTTAAATTTAAGGAGTGTCAGAACAGACAATGAAGGCAAGTAGTTCTTCTAGTGAAAGTTTAAAGGTATTCCTGTTTCCCTGCAGGAAGGACCAAAACCTTCCATCCCCCTTGAATTGCTGGTACACGATCCTCAACCAGACACGGCAGGCGAGCCGGGATCACGGGGCGCTGAGTGAAATCTACACGGGCCACTTGGCACTGCGGTTGATGCACATCAGCGAGGATGTGGGACGATTGGCCAGGAAAGTAGGTGCTTTGGAGGCAGGAGCATGGTTTCCTGGGAGGATCCTCTTGGCAAGACTGCAGAATGGGAGGGAAGCCCTCCAGTCCACCCAGGTTGCTCATTCGGGATTTCTTGCTGTTGCAAGAGCAGGAATCCCCACTACTATTTCCAGTCACAGGATTGTATGGAAGAAGGCAGCAGGTGTCTGGGCAGAGCAGATAGTTTTGCTTGCTCTCTGGCTTCCCCTCAAAGGGAGAAAGTGCAGGGCGGGCAAAACCCAGTTCCTGGGTGGCATGCTAGAAAGTTCATCCTCCTGATATGCCTGCCAGGAACTGAATGACTTCAGGGGTTGGGTGTGGCTGTGACCTCCGGCCTATGAAGGGCTTGGTGGGTGCAGTTCAGAGGACACCCAGCCCTTGCTGACTGTAAGAGGTACATGCCGTCCGGGAACCTAGGCTGCAAAGGGCTATTTGCATGTTTCCTGCCCCCCACCTCTGCAGAGTACCCACTTCATCTTTGACCTGTTATTTCGCCCGCCTCTAAAATGGGGAAATGATTAAAAGAATCCTATATATCCCTTTCCTTCTTTTTTTAGTGTCCCCAACCATATCTAAGTGTGTTCAGAAGTAGATGGGAACTATTTCTGTTCTGGCTGGACAACTGGGCATGTGCTTCCCTTTTTTACAGCAGCTGGTGATCTGAAACCTGGTTGCAGTGGCAAAAGGAACAAATATGGTCTGTGTGTGGGAGGGGAAAGGTGTGTGACTGTGTAGGAAGCGGCAACGTGTTAGGGCTGTCAACCGTGTCTTCTGGGCCCAGGATGCTCTGTGCTCTCAGGCTATCCTTGAGATGAATATGGGTGACATTCCTGTCCACATAATGGTCCCGCCAAGCTGTTTCCCCTCCTCAAAGCAGCCACAAGTTTTATCATACCTTCCCCTCAGGATTCATCTATGGCCTGGATGGATCCTGACAGGAAGCTGAGGAGGGGAATACAAGCTTGGACCTCTGTCTGGGACACAGAGCTCTCCACTGCAACCCTTCCCTATGGTTTCCTTTTTTTTCATTTTCTGCAGTTCTGTGAAGCCTACTTCAGACCCAGTGGAGAACATGGTTTCCGGCTTTGTTACTGAGAGTGCAAGAACATCTTCTCTTATCTTCTCATGCAGCATTTGCTTTTGCTTTAAACAAACCTCAGATCCCTGACATCATGAGGAACTTTGGTTTGTTTAATTAGTGAAAACAAACTAAAAATCTAAAATCATCCTAGCTCGTTCTCAACTAACCACCGTTTAAACAAACCGCAGTTCCCTGAGTTTGGACCTTACGCTTACTTGGCAGGAAGGCATAGATTCCTGTTAAATCTGTATTGTGCCCTGACTTAAAAATTCTTTGCCACGTTGACCCATGCGTCATACTGTAAAAAGCTGAACTCTTTAAAATTTATCATTTATTTGTGTGAGTATTTAAGTATACATAGTTGCTTGTATTCTGTTTGTACTAGTCACAAAAAGGAGCAAGGAACTTGCTGAAACAGCCTTCCTCAATCTGGTGGTTTCCAGATATATTGGACTACAACCCCCACTGACCATGGTAGCTGGGGATTATGGGAGTTGTAGCCCAACACATCTGGATGGCACCAGGTTGGGGAAAGTCAAGCTAGGCCTTTCCCACTGCCCGTTTGGGAGCTCTGTTTTAATCCCTGCTGAATTTAGTTATTTGTCAAGCATAAGTCAGCTATTTGTAAGCCTGACTTTAAAATTATATGGACTAGAAATTTATTAAAAATGAATTTGAAGTCCTCCATTTGCTGTAGTACTAATTCCATGGTTTTCCTTGAAAAAACACAAAATACACACATCCATAGGAAGCACTGTCCTAATACTTCTTCCTTTTTTGCTTTTATCTTTTTTTCTTTAGAGCAAAGAGATGGAACAGCAGATGCAAGATGAACTACTGAAGGCAATTTCAGAGCTGCAGACAGTAAGCAGAAAACAGGGCTTCCTTTTCTGTGACCACCACCCCTCTAGGCCCTAGCAGAACAGGGCTGGTGACACTGAGTGTGACCTGATTTCCTTGCAGTGGTGTGGGGGACAAGAACCTTCTGAGTGTCATCACTTTTGCTGTCTTAGAAATCCATTCAGTGCAAAGGCCTCATATCTTCCCTCCAAGGAGAGCTGCTGTTCTGTGGACATTGCCATTTTCCACCCAGATAAATAATAACTGGCACCCATCAATCATGCCAAGGCTTGGGACTCTAGAGAACTTGACCTAAATCAGGAGCTATTCTCAAAGCCAGTGGCCCTGAGAGCAGAGTGCATTTATTCATATGAGATGTTTTGATTGGCCTGCAACTCTTGCTTGTAAGACTAACACTTACCTCAGAGTCAGGCACACCTCAGCATATTTAGTGAATTACTCTGAAATTAAACAGTTGCTCTGTTTTATTATGAGTTCTGCACTGGGGTTTTTGCAAGTTGCTCTCAGCATAGTTTCCCATGGAAGAGCAGCATCAATTAAGAGTAAACTGATTTGGCTCCACTGATGGGCTGTGAGGCAGCCTCTCTCAGCCCACTGCACTTCAGATGTGTCGCACTGTGATTCCCGTCCATGTGGCTGTGCTGGCTTGAGTTGTGGGAGTTGCCATCGAATGCCTTAAGAGAGCACATGGGGGAGCACTTCAGCCCCAGGTAGCTGACTAGGTAAGGCGCCAGTCTCAAATAGTCATGAAGCTCCTAGTCTAAACAATGTTATTTGACCACACATAATTATATCTGCCAGTGGCTGCTTTGTACGGAAGTTCAGGTGTGCTCTCACGTTGATTGCCATTGCAACAGCAGCACATTGTGGGCTGCACCCAGCGTAGCACTTCTGCTGCTCACGGGAATTTTGTTGTGCACACAGTGTGACCTCGAATGCAAAGGCAGTAGCATTTGTTGGTTGCATTCTGCACAGAAACTGCTCCTGTTGCCCTTGAGGTCACATATACTAATGCAACGTAGTTTTGTTAGTGGTGGTGTCACACTGGATGCTACCCAATGTAGTCGTTGCATGGATGTTGGAGGTAAACGATTGTTGATATGGCTTTTGATGAACCTCTGAAGCTGTCTTTTCCTCAAGTGAAGGACTTTCCCAGCACTCCTACCTAAGGTCTTTTTACCTGAGCTTCCTTAAGCATCAGAGGCAGTGTTGTCTATGTGCAGCAGTTGCCCCAGATCATGCCCTGCTTGTGGGTTCCTGGGGGGAAGTGGTTTGCCACTGTGAACAGGGTGCTGGACTAGATGGATAATTGGTCTGATCCAAGATTGCTTTTCTGGTTGAACCTTGGATCTTGCACATGCAAAGCACATGCTCCATCACTAGCTCAGGACCCTTCACATAAGCATTGGAGCTCCTCCTCAGAGGTGGCCTTAGTGTAAGGCAAGGTGAGATGACCATCTTGGGCCAGAGATTGCTTTGGGTTTCATACAGTTGGCAGCAATAGAGAGACAGTTCCGACTCTCAGAGAATTTCTCCTACACCAGCAGGACCCATAGGGCAAAACTGGTGGGTATGCAGCATTTTAAATTTTGATACAGATTTAATAAGTTGCCTAATTAAACTCATTGGCATTCTGGATTTGCAAATGGTTTCTGATCCTGATCCTTCTCCCTTTGCATTGCCTCCCACATTTCTAGCTGCAAGCCTCCTCTGCCGGCACAGGGGCAAAATGAAATGGGAAGCCTGCTTTGTATGATTGGTTCAAAAGGCCCTTTGGCCTGGGGCTCCTCATTTCCAGAGGATTCTGGCTGAGCCTCAGCTGGGTGTGAGCTGTTCTGGTCTTCATGCATGTGCCGTCTCTACGTAGGCCATGAAGACGTACCAGTCGTACCGCATCGACTGCTTGAATGCAGAGGCAAAGCTGCGTGAGGCTGAGCGGCAAGAGGAGAAGCGCAGCGGAGGGAAGCACCCTGATCCTGGGGGGTCCCCTGGAGGGGCCGGGCTGGACAAGACACCCCGTCGCACCTCACTCCGGAAGGTTGAACGGCTACTGGAAAAGGTAGGGGGAAGAAAGAAAACTAAGGGGCAGGCTGGGGCAGGCTAACTAATTTGGGAGCCTGCTCCTTGAGGGTGGGATGCTCTTGAAAAAGATGTGAAAGGTTCTAGCATTGTTGATTGGCTAGAAATACTTACAGCTCTAATGCTGTACACATTTATCTGGAAATCAGTGGCACTGAGCATAATGGAAGTTACCTGTGAGCTAAAATGCACAGGACTGAGCTCAGGGCTGCCAACTGATTAAATATTTGTAGTTCTTGTCTACCTTTTAAACACACTGAGTTTAATGTACACTGTATATGCATGTTATCAAAGCCTCTATAGATGTCTTTTAGAGGGACTGAGGGAAGTGTGTGAAAACACTCACTATGGCAAACAAAAAAGAGCACTTATTAGAAGAAAATGTCATTCTTAATATTAAATATTTACTTTTTGAGATTCATTGCCTAGCTTTTCTAACTTGCTATGTTCGAGTCAGTGAGATGACAGTATCTTATTCTTGTGGTTTGTCATATCCCTGTGCAAGTCTTTGATAACATGAGGTTCCTTCAAGAAATTTTGAGAACTAAGTTCTTAAATAAAGTTTTAAAAAAATCACAACTATGGCATGTTACTAAGATGAACTTAGCACTTCCCTTTTAAAGGTGCACTTTCTTCACTCCCACACCAGAGAAGGGTCAGGACAGGGAGAACACTCTGCAACGCTCACTTGCAGCTTGGACCTACAGACTAGTGAACAAGTAGCTTCCATCTTGCCCTGCCTTCTGAATGTGATGATCTGCCAGCTTCTTCCTAAGCCTCGGAAAGGGAGCCTGAGGGACATCCCCCTCCCCAGACATCAGAGGCACTTCAATGCTGGGGTTGTCCCTGGGAGAAATCCGAGCAATCTGTTTGTGATGCACTCCCAGCACCACAGAAGAACATGGCAGGTCCCAGCAAGAGGTCCAGAGATGGCTTTTGAGCTTGGCCATGCAGTTTTCAGGTGCTGGGAGTGCCTTAGATGTGTGGAGTCAAGGTAAGTGGCCCCTTACCCCTCTGGCTCCAAGCCTGTGTTGCAGAGGATTGTACCTGACCGTTTGGGGCAGCCATCAAGACCAGCTCCAAACCCGTGGATTCCTGCTCATGAGCAATCATTTCACCAGAAAACTCCAGGCCACAAACCACTTCCTGTCCCTTCTATGGCGTTCCTGCTCTTGCTTCTGACAGGGCTGGTTTAAGAGTTTTCTTCCTTCCCTTGTTAATAACAGAGCCAGCTTAAATGCAGCACATGTTCTGATAACTTTTTAGTGCAGGCTGACCAGAGCCATCTCAAGACTCTTTTATGTAAGTGACTTTTACATGATAGCTGCTGTCTTAAAGGAATAGTAACACAGGTTGTATTTTCCCTTACAAACACAGTTGTTGCAACATTCCTAATTAATGAATCGTTCTGTGTCAGTGCAACACGAAACCCTTATAGGGGCTGGTCTACTGAGACTGCTGGACTTTCCTTGATGTACAAGGTATCCATGGTATGGAAGAAGGAATGTGCAAGCGTCTTAACATTTTCTTGACATCTCTCTTTGTCTTTGCTACCTTGGAGACAATCTCTTGGCTTTAACATCTTGCATTGATATTGTCTGTTGTGTCTCATTCAATCCACCATCATCTCTTCTAGCTTGAGATTCATCTATGGGCTTTCAAACTTCATTCACTTGATTCCAGGGTAAAAAGGTAAAGGTTTCCCCTTGACATTAAGTCCAGTCATGCCTGACTCTAGGGGGCGGTGCTCATCTCCGTTTCCTAGCCGAGGGAGCCAGCGTTTGTCTGCAGACAGTCTCTGTGGTCATGTGGCCGGCATGTCTAAACACTGAAGTGCACGGAACGCTGTTACCTGCCCACTGAAGTGGTGCCTTTTTATCTACTTGCATCTGCATGCTTTCGGACTGCAAGGTTGGCAGGAGCTGGGACAGAGTAGGGGAGCTCACCCCATTGTGCAGATTCGAACCGGCAACCTTTCGATCTACCAGCCCAGCAGCACAGCAGTTTAAACCACTGCGCCACCTGCAGTCCCTAATTCCAGGGTACTGTATCGTATTAGCCCATTAAAATGATGCCTCTAGCCTTTGGTCCTCTGTTCTTGTGGTGTAAGTGAAACGGGGTTTAATGGTATCTCTGGCTCTGGGATTCTACCAAGAAAATGCTCTTCTTCCTTCTGCTTCAAGAAGATTAAAAAAACCAACACTTCAGCAGGTTTAGCTCATACTGTTTACTCTCAGTATGAATGTCTTCGGGAACTCTCCCTTTTCAATAACAGAGAAGGAAGTGCATGTTCTTAAAATACTGCACTGCAATCCCTTCTTAGGCGCTTTGTGATGCCTTCTTACTGGAAGACTGGTAGTTTTATCTTGTAGTTTGCTGCTTGTAATATGTATTTGGAGTGCGGCCTTCCTTATAATTTGTTTCCCTCTCAGTTGAAGATTCCTGCCTATTAGGCCCCTATTCCATCAGATATTTGTGAATGCCTAACTTTAGCACCCTGTTTCCTCTTGTGAACTCTCTGATTTTTATCTGTTTCCTTTTTTAAAAAAATATCCAATTTCTTACATTTTCATCCTGCCTTTACCTTGAAGAACCCCAGGTGGGACACAATATGCCTCTGCCTCTATGTTATGCTCACAACAACCCTGTGAGGTAGTCTAGGCTGAGAATCAGTGGCTGGGCTAACCTCACTTGACGGCCAAGTGAGGACTAGAACCCAGGTCTCCTGAGACTCAGTCCAACTCAGTAACCATTATGCCGCACTGGTTTCTTCACTATACCTTTTCCTTCTTTGTGATCAGCCTGCTTGGGATGTCCTGCACATATTGTTGGTGATTCACCTTTGATCTCAAAGCACCCATCAATCTGGTACAGTGGCCCAGACATTAGGAAGGTCTGTTGTTTCTTGTGCAGCTGATAGGCGCTGCCCACTGGGCGCTCATGCTGCCTCTACAGAGATTGCATAATGTCTTCCCACATCAGCAACATGCTCAGGGGCATCCGTTTACTTTGTTCTGCTGGTTTCCTTGTGGATGGTGTGGCATAGTTTGGGGCATCAATGCAAGTACTGATTCAGAATCTGTCCCTAGTGAAGACTGATCATAGCCATCTCCCCAGATGCTTTTTAAAATAAGAAATTTAGCTGATAGCCAGCCTTTCTAAATGAACAGTAGCATCAGTGGTGCATGTCTAGGAAAGTCAGAGATGTTGCAGATGGGGCATGTCCTTATCCTTGGTATACTTGGACAATATTGGTTTAAGCTTGCTTGCCTGCTAGCATTTGGTATTGAATAACGTAGCCCCAGACAGTTGAGTCCTTTGGATAAATATGCCCATCAGCAGCGCACCGGTAAAGGTGCGCTTTCCTTTCTGGTAAAGGCAGGGGATGATTATTTTAAATTATTTTTTATAAAATATCACTGATAGGTAGAAGGAGCAGTTAATGTTTTGTCTTCATTCCCCTTCAGATCAGTGCATACCAAATCCCAAACAGCCTTACAAATAAGTGGATGGGCCCTTGACTCAGACACACTAATTAAAACCGATTGATCTACTGATTAAAGCTTGCAGCCCTGATAATGTCTGTGGTGTTCTTCTTTCGAAGCAATGTGTTCCATGGAACCAACGGGTTGTTGGTTACTGGGGATGATTCTGGAATAACCGGATGTTGGGAGAAGAAGGATATTGTTATTAAAGGGGTTAAATTGAAATGGGGAGATAGTGAGTGCTGCCTACACAGGCAGTGGTGGCGCAAGGCTGCTTTCTCCTGGCTCTGCACTTGTCACACTACCGCAGCAAGGCTGTGGCTTGCAAGCAGGTAGTCCTTTGAGGGCAGCTGCCGCTGTGGTTTGTCAGGAGAGAAATTCATCATACAAGCACCAAGATACTAACGGGAGGACCCAGAGGATGGGAGGGCCTGGCTGCAGTCCTAGCCTAATGGTTCCCCAATGCTTGCAGAGGCAGTCTAAGTTCCTGGAGAGCAAGCTGAAGTGTGCCAAGGCCCGGAACGACTACCTGCTGAGCCTCTACGCCGCCAACGCCGCCATTGGCAACTATTACGTGCATGACGTGGCTGACCTGCTGGATGTGAGTCCACCTGCTGATGCTGGGGCTGTGCGAGCAAGTTAAGGGAGAGTGCTGTAATCTCAGTAAGGCCACCCCAGTGCCAGCATCTCACTCTTTAGGTGCCTAAGGGAATGATTAGGTGTGACCTCCTTTTATCTCCCCATATCAAACCCCCATGGCTTCTCCAAAGAGCTTTGGGGATCGTAGTCTGGTGAGACTTCTGTGGGGGCCCCACCCCCCTGGAATGACTTCTCCCAGGTTCCCTGGAGAGAGAGAATATTGTTTGAACTAGTGTGAGCCTGGAGGGAAGATACAGCTAAAGGCTCAGTAAAGTCAACTTGCCTTTGGATGCCTAGCAGGACTGCAAAGGGGTGCGTGAGTCAGAAAACTAACAGTGCCTCTCCTTTCTCCTGGTCCCCAGTGTTTCGATCTTGGCTTCCACCTTTCCCTGGGCAAGGTGCTGAGGACTTACCTAGCGGCAGAATCTCGGGCTCAAGCATCTTGGCAACAGGGACTGTGCACTATTGAAGGAGCTGTGGATGCCCTGGACCCACTGGGGGATAAGTCCAGACTGATGGAGGCTAACCCATCAGCTTACTGCCCTCCTCAGTGCTTCGACTACCAGCCTCATGAGGGTGACGAGGTGAGAAGAGGCTGCTTCTTCCTGGGGCCTGGGAGAATGTTCTGGTCCTTCCGTGGTCCAGCCCTCACTCTGTGCTTTTCCTTGTCGTTCCCTCCTCAGGTGTCTGAAGTCCGGGCTGAGGGTCCCCTGAGAAACGAACTAGTCTCCCGCTTCCAGCATATACAATCTCGCCTCAATGCTATCACCCTGGAGACAGATGAGGTGGGTGTTGTGGGCAGAGAGCCAGGCAGAGCCCTTGCCCTTTCTTTCGACATGCCTGAGCCCAGACACATTCAGGCCTTAAACCAAGAGTGCTGGAAGTGAGAGCTTAATGCATACTGGGCAAGGCTCAGGCCTAGTTCTAGCAAATTTGTCTCTTGATGTGTATCTTTGTTTACTTGTTATATTTACATCCTGCCTTTTTTCCTTCCAAGGAATTCAAAGCAACTTTCATCGTTCTCCTTCTCCTCTCCACTCAGTCTTATCCTCTCAACAACAACTCTGCAGAGTATGTTGGGCCGAGAGTCTGTGACTGGCCCAGAGTCACCCAGTGAATACCTGGATTGCTTGACTCTTAACCATTCCACCACACTGGTATCACTTCGGGCTGCACCTCGGGGTTCATATAACTGAACAGTCTTCCATAGTAAACTCTTTGCAGTCTCCACATAGGGTTGCTTGGTGTCCCTAACATGCTAGTTTTCTAACTGAAGGGAATTTTTAGTAATGAAAAATCATCCTATCTTGTGAAGTCCCTCTGCCTTTCAGCCGCTGTATTCCAGAGTGGTACAGGCCTGACACAGGTCTCCCATGCCAGTGGGAGCTGGGCCTCAGATTCACAGGAGTTATTTAGAGATGAGCAGGAAACACTTTTTGCATGTTCAGAAGTAGTGAAAACAGGCCATACAACTGAGCCCTGGTTCAGGTTAAGTCCAGGTGAACCTATAACCTCAACATGGTACCATACACTTACGTGTTATTATGGTAAATGGTAATAAATTATTTGAGCTATAGCTTTTCCTGACCTTCATATTGCATTTTAGTAGTGTTTTTTCTTGTTCAGGCAATTCCCTTTTTCTGATTTGAACTGGGCATAGGATTATTAGCACAGTGTTAGCTAGCCCTCCATAGGGTTAGGCCAAGGAAATGCCTCTTTGGTTTGGGGTTGATGTTAAAGAGAAGCCCTAAGTAGGCATGGGGTGGCGTGAAAAGCACAACTCCATAGCTAGTGTCCCTTTGGCAATATGGCTCAGTGCTGCTGCTTTACCATGTTTCTGCCCTCACTTGGATAGGCAGTGCTTTCCTCTTCTCCATAGGAATGAATGAACCACTCACTTACTTGGGAGAAAGTGAAGGGCATGTTTACAGGCACCTTTGGGTTGGCAGCTCTGTCCCCTCCCCTCTGGTGACCCCAGTGTTCTCCTGGAGGAGCAGGTTTGCTCCCTCTTGGTGGTCCGTTATCATTCTCTGGCTGAAGAAGATCCTACAGAATTCACTGGCCAAGAGGAAGAGAAAAAAAGACTGCTGGAAGGTGGCAGCCCATCCTTGAACCAAAGCGCACATGCTTTCTGGATGGATTAAGTGCACAGTTAAATGGGTGGAATGTGGAACAGCTGCAAATGTTCGTGTCAGATGTCTAATAATTTAGAGAAATTTACTCTTTCATTTTTTTCTGTATAACTATTTGAAGTGAATCTTTGGAGGCAGCACAAGGTGGCAGGTCAAGGAAATAGACTATGTCCTCCTTTGTCTCCTGTTCATAGGGATCCCCGTCTCTCCCTGGTGGTTGCCGAAACTTGAGCCTGCTCCTGTCTCTCATTTCTGTTGCACCAGCTGAACCCCATTGCTTAGTCACCCTAGGGCAGCCTTCCCACAGCCCTACCGCTGTGTTGGACTGCAGCTCCCATCATCCCTCAGCCAGTCCCAACACATCTGGGGGCCTTCAAATGTGTAGAGGAATGGGGGGAAGGTTGCAATAATAGAGTGTAATGGCACCCAAAAATGAGTGTGTGTGAGTGATGGCTGCAATAGGCTGCCTGCCATTTTGGGACCTGAGTGTTCAAAATAAATCCTTGGAAGTAATTGCAGAGGAGAGATGGGTGTGTGGGAGAATTGCAGGAGAGAATTACGGAGCATGGGAAGGTTGAGTCTCCTCCCACCCATCCATGATTTGGTCCCACAAAATGCCCAACCTAATGTAAATGGTTAGGGTTACAAGGGAAACTCCAGGTTTTCTTTTCAACCCTCCTTGGGCCTTTTATAAAAAGCCAGTCTTTATTTATTTATATGTTAACGTATTGCTATTGTTTTCTGCCTTTTAACACTCTGTTGTACCAGATCATTGTGAATACCTGACTTTAGCAACCTGTTTTATCTTGAGAGCACTCTGGTTTTTATGTTTCCTTTAAAAAAGTACTATTACATTTATATTCTGCCCTTACCTTGGAGGAGTTCCAAGTGGCATACATGATCTTCTTCCTTTTCTGTTTTATCCTCAAAACAACTCTGTGAGGTAGGTTAGGCTGGGAATCAGGGACTGACCCAAGATCACCCGATGAAATGGCCAAGTGAGGACTAGAACCCAGCTCTCCTCAGTTGGGGGATGCAGGAGAAGGCTGTGATAACAGAGTGTAATTGCATCCCAAAACATGGGCACATGTGTTTGTTAGCTGTGTGTGACTTAAGGCCAGGCTAGACATTACCATGGCAAATGCATGGTTTTTCTATTATACTACAATATTGTAAACTGTCCAGAGAACTGTGGCTACTGAGTGGTGCAGAAAAGTAAGAAATGAAATAGAAGGATGAACAAGGCAGTGCGGGGAGGCCATTATGGGAGAGGACCAGTGGGTGAGTGGGAAGGAGAAGTGCTCAGCACATCCTGTGCCCACTTTTCTAAAGAGCCAGTATTTATTTATTTATTTATTTTAATACATTAGTGTGCTGCTAAGTATTTTAAAACCCTTGAGCAGTTTCCATAAAATATTAAAATCATAATTAAAATCACATTTAAAATATACTTAAAAACAATACAGCATAATTACAGTAATAATAATACAGAGCATTGTGGATAGCACTGATCATGGTATCTCTCATGCAGGATGAGTGCTACAGAATACTAATAATTCAGGAGCAGTAACATAAAACAGGGAGAGCCTGAGGGAGCAAGGGTGGTTTCAGGAGGCATTTGAAGGATACCAGATTTTCTGCTTCCCAAATGGCAGTTTCTTCCACAGGGTGGGTGCCACCACCAGGAAGGCCTCACCATCTCAGTGTTCCTGGCAGCATCACAATAATTTCTTCCAATGATCTTAGCTGTTGGCTGGGTGTATATACAGGAGGGCCGCCTGCTTGCTATTCTGATCCTAAGTTGTTTATGGCTTTGTATAACAATGCCATAACCTTGAACATGGCTTGATAGCTAATAGACAGCCAGTGCAATTCTTGGAGCATAGGTCTCATGTGAGCATAGATGGGTGTCTCAGTGAGCAATGAAATGGCTATATTCTGCACCAACTGCAGCTTCTGAATGCATCCAAGGGCAGTCCCATGGAGAGTGCATTTCAGTAGCCTAATTGTGAGGTTTCCAGTGCACGGATTGCTGTGACTAGGTTATCCCTGTCCAGAAATGGGCACGTCAGCTGAAGCTGGTAGTGGGTATTCTGGGCCACAGAGGTCACCTGGGTCTCCACTGTGGACACAGGTGAATTCAGAATCATCCTCAGATGGTGTACCAGTTCCTTCAGGGGAAATGCAATCCAACCTCATCCACAACGGGCAAACAGCCCTGCTCCTGGACCTGGGAGCCCCCAGCCTGTGGGGCCTCTTGCCTTACCAGTTTATTATCCCTCGTCAAAGTCGTGACTACCTCAGTTCAGAACATGCATGGCCATTCCTGATCTGGATCTCTCAGAAACATCGCTGGTGCCATCTAATCCAAAATCTTCCAAGGACCACCCTGATGGCTTTGCACAGATAGGTAGTGGACAAGATGGTCCCCTGGGGCACCCCACAGTACACTTGCCACAGGGCCTGCTCTGGAACTGACCACACAAGCGCAAGTTGTCCCTGTTGCCTCCTAGGGTCCTGGTGTTGACTCCTCGGCCTCTTTCCACAGGTGAACAAGACCTTGAAAGCTACTCTGAAAAGCCTGGTGGACCTGCTGCAAGCAGAGGAACCGGAGGCCCTTGATGCTTTCCAGGGCTGCCAGTCCACCGAGTCACTCAAGTCAACAGGCTCAGATGCAGGCGGCAAACAGGCACTGGCAAAGCGCCGGGCCAACCAGCAGGAGACAGAGAGCTTTTACATCATGGTATAGTCCTTGTTTCTTACAATGGTGAAGTGTAAAGGTCTCTTGATGGATGTTATCTTAAAGCTGAAGCCCCCTTGACCAAACGCAGCCCTGTGTGTGCTTCACCACTTCAAAGTCTGCTTGTGCAACCCATTTGGGGCTGAGTGTGCCATGTCAGAGAGGAGACCTGGGGCCACACTGAGACTGTTTGGTTTCCCCAGATGGCCACTTCTCTTTCCCTAGATCACTGGTAGCCTCAGGGCTTCTAGGCTTTTGTGCACATTGTTCCATCCAGGAATGCTGAAGTACTTCTCCTCAGGCTCAACTGGTGGCAGAAGAGCCATCAGCTGCTGGTACTTCTCGATTTTGTTCAGGCTGCGTTGGCCTTCAGCTTTGCCCAGTCCAAGCCCCCATCCCTGCAAGAGCTTCTCCAAAATAAAAATGGCCTTCTGGCTAAAAGTGGTGCAGCCCCAACAGGGCATCCTCCCAGCTGTCCCACTTCAGCTAGCCTCCTGCTTCAGGTGTGGTGGGGGATGCTGTCCCGTTGCTCGTATTGAAGTAAGATCCCTGTGCCACTTCAGCTGGTTTTTGTACATGGAGTGGAGAGAAGTTGCCATCCTGCCCTTTGCCTCAGGGAGGAAAATGCCTTGCCCTCTGGCGGGGCTTTCCCTGGTGCAGTCTTCCCGCTCCCCCTTCGCTGTCTCAACTTTTCTAGACCAGGCTGTTATTGTGCATGCATTCACACATCACTATTTCCGGTTGCCTAAGGCAATGCCACCCTGGCTTGTTTCACTTCTGATTTTGAAAAGCAATTTTGCAAGTGTCGTGGGTAGTTTGGAACTGGGAAAATCCAGTATTGTTTGTGAAAGTGAAACAGAGCACTTCCCCCACTAGCATGGTTGTGTTACTCTGCTATACCACAGAGCCACTTTGAGGTGATGTTGCAGAAGGTATGGAAAGGCAGAAAAGGAAAATAAGCCATGCAGAGCCCTGATCTTAATTCATCAACAACACAAAAGAGCTCTTGCAAAAGCTGTTCTGGAACTTCACACAGGCAGAAGGGCAATCTCAGCCCCTTTGTTTCCTTCAGCCTGCCCTTTTCCTTTGGCTATAAAGAGTACAAAAGGGAGACCAGCAGCCATGCTGAAGTAAAAACTGGAGACCTTCTCTCCAGGTGATAGATAACTCCTTCTGAATTGGACTCTACCTCTCCTTCCTGTTTACCTTTTCACCTATGAAGAAACCGTAGCATATCATGCCACATCTCCTTGTCTTGTTACTGCATGAATGAGCCAGTATAGTATTGTGCACCAGCTGCTTTCTCTGATAATGGTATCTCTTGTGCAGAAATTCAAAGAATATCTCTCCGGCCGAAGCATTCAGACAAAACTGCGAGCAAAGCACGACCAGATGAAGGAAGCAATAGAGAAGGGTGAGCATGTGAAAGAGGAGATTATCTGCTGAGTTGTGTACCTTTTGCTAGATGCAGCATGGAAATTGCAGGACGGTGTTCTGCGAAGCACAAGATAACTGTCCAGTTTTGAGTTATTTCATGACTGCCATGTTTTCTCTCAAAGAAGCCTAGCTTGGTGAGGTTCTTCCTTCAGAGACACCTCCGGACTCACCACCTCCCTTCAGAGTGCTACTGATCCTAGAGTCCTTTGTGGGAAAGGGAGTGGCAGTTATGCCAGATTAAGGGCAAGGACAGATGTCCCCGTGAACAGGAGTGCCTGAAGGCTTTTCAGTGGAAAAGTGAACTGTGCCACCTCGCTTCCACTCATGCAAAGATGCATGCTCAGCCAAAGTACTGGTTTCCTCCTGTTTATAGCAAGCAGCTTGTGGGCCTTACAACTTCCATGATCCTCCACCTTTGGGTTGGTGGGAGGTTTAGACCAAAGCCTCACACAAGTTGCCTTCCTTTGTGTTAGCTATCCGCTCTCTCACCCCGACAGTACACTTTAAGCTGCTTGGATATTTTCACACTGTTCTAAGAGGAGAAGACATTGGCTTTATGAGTGAAATGTGGTCTAATAGTTGGTCCTGTGTGCAACCACACTTGGAAAGCAAGAGAGGAAGCCTCACAATTGGCTGGCTGGTCCTTATATCAGTCTGTGCAAAGCCTAGATTCTTACAAAAAAAAAAAAAAGAGGAGCAGGTTCCACTGAGTGTGATCTGGAGGAGAAGACTGTGAATGTTCATCTGCTGCATAGCTTCTCTACTGAAGTGGTGTATCCTTGCCTTCACCCTAAATTAATTATGTAGGTGTGGCCTAAGAGAGCCCAGGGCTCCGAGCACTAACTTCTGGGTCTTACATTTTCTTCTGTTCCCGCAGGTGCTGCAGTGGATAGAGAACTAGCCAGGTAAAAGGAGACATGGAGGGGCTGTGAAAACTGTGGATGTTCTCTTGGTGGGGATGGTGGGAGAGCAACGGGGGTTCTGTGTGCCGCCCTCCTCCTGCACCCAGTTGAGCCGTGAAGACTTCCTCTGCCCCATTTAGTGGCTGAGGAGCCCAGTGGGACTGTGGGTGGGTGGGGGGAGTCCTGTTCCACTCCTGGGGTGGGGGGAGCCTCTGACATCCTCCTGCCTCCCTCCCCACACTACACAAACGTTGCTTCCAGGCCACAGTCCCAGCGCATCCGCCGTTCCCGCCCTCCCTCGTGCTACCATCACAAGCTCTTCGAGGGTGACCTGCAGGCCTTTTTGGAGGTACTGGCTGCTGCCCTGAGCTTCGCCCCCCTCTCCCCCTGCCCCGTCTCCTCCTTGCCCTGCTTTCTTGCCCTTTGCCTAGTACGGGAACTCTGTGCCTCCTTGGCCCTGCTTTTGCCTCTGGCTCTTCCCAGTCGCACCTGCTGCTTCCTCTGCCTGTAACGTGCTTGCTGACTCTGTCTCTCCTGTCCGTGCTGCCCCAAGGAGGCGGAGGCTGCAGGCACGGAAGCAGGTACATGGACCGGGGGGGGGGGGGG